GGCAGTAGTGCAGGTAAAGACTTCAGTATAGTCCATTGCCATATGGATCAGAGGCCAAATTCCTCGCTGCTGTTTATTGGGACAGCTCAACCAGTTAACTTCGAATAACTGGTGCTATTTCATTCCAGCAAAGAATCTTCCCCAAGGGTATACTAACACTTTTGATCATAAACACTAAATAGTAATCCTCAAACTCAAATGAATTAACACATTAGGCTTCTGTTGCTCAGAAGAAGCAAAAGCTGTTCAGCTACCGTGAAAAATTAAAAAAACCCAACAAAACCCAACCCACCTCAGTGTTGTCAAAATAAGCCTGTATATGATGGTTTCAAAATATAACTTATTCATTCCTAAGTACATACAAGGCTAAATATTATGGGTGGCAGGACATAGTAATGCTCTTTTAGAAGATTCTCATGAGGAAGGCAAATGTTACACTCCTTACGTTCTGACTTACACAAGGAAGCCCACTGAAACGACTGGGACCATTCACCTCACCGTGAAGTGACCTACACCTGTAAAAATTAGAAACCTCAACCATCCTAAAGGGTAGCCGATGTTACACTTATTTTTTGTACATATAAAATGAGTTACACCAGGAGACTTTCAACAATAGCAAGAGGCGGATAAGAGAATATAACACAGTACTGCTGCATGCCTGGATTTGTGGCACATATTTAATTATTATTCTGAAGGAGAGGTAATGACCAACTGCTAATTAAGATAGAAGAAAGCTGTTAGGAAATTTTGAGGGACCTCTGAATCAAACGGGAACTGCAATGGCAGGGAAAATGCCAGGCTGTCAATTAAACGTCTGGTGACAGAGTAGAGTAAGAGGAACTTCTCATGCAGATTGCTAGATCTTAAAACCTATTAAAACTCAAGAAAAAAATTAAGAGTTTCATGTGAACAAGTCCTTCCCTAAAACAAACACAGATTTGCTCAAAAAGCAGCAACACCATCCTCAAAAAATATTAAGGGAGTACTGGAATTATGACTTCTATACATTTCTGGAATGGTGTATTCTTGGTGGGTACTTAACACACTGTGCCAGGAAAAAGAAAAAAAATATTAGAAAGAAAGAAACAATAAAAAGAAGGAAACAATAGCTGAAAAATATTAGGGCAATTTTCAGGAAAACTTGTCCAGAAGACAGAGACATACTAAAGAATGACAAAACAGAAGTCCTTTTCCACATAACCATTTCGCAGAAAACTCATTTTTATTCTCTTTTATTCTGCTGTAATTCTTTAAAGATCTCTTCTTCTCAAAAGTTTCTACTGTAATTGGTGCAGAAGATTAAAATAAAATGGCCCCAATATTTTCAGTGAGATAAAGAATAAAAAGAAACACAATAACATTATACAATAGTATGGAGAATGTAAATTACAATACTTTCAACAGAGCATAATTAAACTGTATTAAAATATTGCTTTGAACTGCAATAAGTGTACGTATAAGCCATACTTAAGTGAAGACAGTGAAGACAACATATTTTTTCTGCTCAGGTTAACAGCTCTATGAGATGTTAACATGGGTGTGAATTCAAACTCCCAAACAGAAATAAACCCAAGCTATTTCATCCTGCAGTAGTCTGCAAAAGAACAGCAGCTCTCTTGTGAAATGAGCCTAAGAGGAGAATCTTAGTACCACATATTAGTAAGAGAAGAAATCTTATTTCTTTAAACAGGTTCTTGGTCAAGAGAAAATTTGGGCTACATACAAATTTACATGTCAGAATATGAAAACTGTCACCAGAAAATGCTTGTCCAGTGGCTGCTGAAGCTCCTTGCTCACTTTATCTTTGAAGTCCCACAGACAACTCCACCTCAGCAACAATGTGCTCCTCTCAAATTCAGGAGCCCCTGTAACCTTGAAACAACACCTAAAGCTCCAGATCTGATGTGTTCAGCATATGCCTAACAGGTACAGGCAGATTTGCACCCCTCAGAAAATATCCTTGCTTTCTGGGGCATGGCTGGAAGAGGTTGTATCCCATACTACACGAGCACACAGCTGAAGCACGCAATGGAGAGTGTGATCTCTTTTCCACGCTCTCCTCACTCCGAGGTGGCACGGACAAGCCCTTTCCAGCAGAACTACAAGCTGGTCTGGAAAACAGGAGTTGGGAGTGGTCCACTAGTCCCACAACATCCCTGCCAGAGCAAAGCTGCAGATTTCATGCAGGTGGCAGAAAGACTTGTGAGAGGACAGCACAGTCCAGTGGCTGCACAACTTGGTAAGGGACAAGCCCTCAATTTCACGCAAGCAACAAGATCCCGCGTACCTGTCAGGCTGCAATGGCAACCACAAAGCCTGATGAGTCCTTAAAAAAACCCTGCCATGGGAACCTACCTCCAGAGAAGAGCCTGGACTCTGCAGCCTGTAGGCACTGTGCTCAGCTTTTGCTATGGGCTATTTCAAGACAGTTTCTGCTGCGTTTGCAGGTTTCCACCCAATTCTGGCATGCACTACAGAGGGAGATTGTGTGTCCCAGCCCTATGTCTTTACTGAGCCTTCCTGGGACTGGCTGCTGAAGACACCTGTTTCAAACCTAAATATGACAGCAGAGAATCACAGAGACTACATCCTGCCCTTTGTTCTTACACGTAAAGCATTTCAGGCCCAACACTGTAAACACTTTACAATTCTCCCACCCGCTGCAGTGGGAAGTATGTTGTAACTTCTATATTTTGATTTAACTCTCCTTTTTACCTTGTAGCTGAGGACAAAAATGTTGTCCTTGTGATAAATTTCCTTACCATAAGATTACAGACACTAACAACAATGAAGGGAAGAAAAACCACTAGAAAAAAAGAAGCCCGTTACTTAGGCAAAATAATGGAAACCATAAATCACTGCAGTGACAGGATTAAATGTGAAACCTTTAATTATACATCGAATCATTTACTAACTTATTTGTAGTATTGTTCATGTACCTTGAATAAGATTTGAGCTGGAGGATGATTCTATTTTACATGTGAAATAGAAATAGTTTTAAGCATAAAAATAATATTAACTTTAATCCTTAACTAAATTAAGACTTTTACTGAACATTTTTGTTGTTTTCAGTCAAACCAACCCTCACTTAATGGCATTGCTGTGTCAATGCACATCAAGCCCATCTCCATTGCACATACATTGTACAAAATGAAGCAGAACTAAGGGGGAAACAAGTGGCAGTTCAGAAAGTACAAGAGAGTGTAATTACATTGTTGAGGGAGATGTGTTATTTATGAAGTATAGACAAACCTGTGCCCACAGGCTGTATCTGTTCCACTGCTTTTTCCATAAGGAGGCAAGAAGCAGCTGCTAGAAAAGTGACTTCTCAGCCCCTAAACACCTTTTCCCATGGATTCCAGAGTCCAGCAACAGAGAGCAGGGCTGTTGCTGCTGTTGCCACTGGGTTTAGATTGGACAAGGGAATAATAACCTGATTTCTGTAGAAATTCTGTGAACAAGCATAATCTTCCAGCGCGCTCAGAACAGAACTTACTGAAAACAAACAAACAAATAAACCTCAAACCAAAACAAAATGCAAAAATAGCAAAATTCCCCTCTTCTAACTGGAGAGTAAGGCAAAGTGCAGGCAGCCTTCGTGTTTACATAAATCCCCTCAAAAGATATGCAGCAGGAAAAAGCAGACTTTCATCAAAGTGAAAACAATGCTTGTACGTTATGTACGTTATGAAAACCAGCCTAAAATACAGAACACATCATCTAGTAGCAATTGTAAAGGCACTATTATACTGCCAGGTATTGCATTGCATGTCAGAGAGCTGTTGGCAGGAAAGTACCTGTCCTCTGGAGTACCCTTTGTTTTGTTCTATCTTGTTGCAGGCTCTGGCAAATTGCCTTAAGGTTCCTAGCTGGTGCGGGCTGTCACACAGCAAAAAACATAATTCCGCTGCTCTATGTTTCCTTTTAAACAAGAAGTGTCCATCGGGCCTAGGTTGAAGAGAAGATTGATTCTCCCTACTCATTCAGCTCATGCTTTTGCCCTGGCACATTAGACAGAAGCAGCTGGGGCTTTGCCAATGTTTAGGGTGCAGAAATGGGAAGGACCAAATACAGTGGGGAAGCACACACTCAGTGGGAGTTTTGGCCATCCCAGTAGACGAGGGCAACATTTTTAGTATGCCTTTTGTAGAGACACAAACCACCAGATGGAGGACTCCAAGTTAATCTTCAGGTTTTGTTTGGATTCTCTGCCATGTCATCTGCTTTGATGGGATTATCTTTTTGAAAAATAAGTCATCTTCTGTATTTGGGACTTTTAAATCTGTTGGATTGGCTTGTTGGTACATGACAGACCTCCTGGCTCACTGCTATGAACTGCAGGAAATGCTCCAAACTCTTTTGTGGTCTCTGCCTTTAACACTTTTTTGAACAGGCAAACCCAGAAAGAAAAGCGGATCATATAATTAAGTTCTAACAGTCACGTAAGTCAACTACACATTTGCTCCTAAGCTAGGTAATTTTTTTCCATTGTATTTTGTAATCAAGAAAAAATTGCCTAAGGAAAACAGGGAACACAGGCCCAAGTCTATAGAAGTCTAAGTACAGTCAGCACTAGGAAAATTAGTTTTCTTCCTTTCTTTCCTCTTTTGGATTTCTTTTTGAACCATGAGTAGTTTGGACTGATTTGGCAATATTTAGATGTTTCTGTTTCATGCAGCCAATTTGAAAAGAACCTTAACAATACAACATGCAAAAGTTGGAAAATCACATGCAAAAGAAAAGTTGAAAAAAAATAATCCCATGACACAGAACTGCCTATTCTGTTAAATCCATGTTCAAGGCTTAAACTGAAAATATAGGTCTCTGGATTAATGCTTCTGAACACATGTAGGACACCAGTGTCAGAGACCTGGAAAGACATTTCTATTATCTTTTCCTCAACAATTACTGGAAAGGAAATTCCTGAGGCAATACTTAAAGCACAATCCCACATTATGTACCTGACAACATGAGACTGCGATGCCAGGACATTTACTCACCCTGCCAGCAAGGTGATCTGTAGGTCTTTGGAGTTGTTTTTCTCTTTATTTTCTCTAGTCCACTCATGCATCAGGTCCCTTAGATATATGGAAGAGCCAAGTGAATTCACGTTTCTTGCTCTTGGTGTAAAATGGTCTCCTGTGACAAAGAGCATATAGAGACCAATGTGGCATATGAAGGCACTGGAACAATAATTTCCAATCATACTATAATTCAAGGTTTTCCTATTTCCTGCCTTCAGCAGCAGTCAATGCTGGGGAATAAAATCCCCAAGAGATGGTTTCCATATAAGCAGCCTGGGGGATCATTGTTTAGTAAGCGCCAGAAACTTATGCTGCCCTAATTAGATCTAGAGAAATAGTATTTTTAGGAGAGTTTCCAGTGTTTTACTGAATAGTATCATATCACTCAATTCTACTAGTTAACTGAGTACATTTCAGGTAAGATTTTCTTTCATCAGTATTAAACACATTTATTTTTACAGTTTCTACCCTATTGGTTAGGTACTACAGCAATGACCACGATCCTTTCTGAAATTCTCCTTCAATCCCATCATTCTGTGCATATTCTCTTTCCTGTATCTTCTCTAAACTATCTTCTCTACTTATTTTCACTCCAGAATGTCTTCCTTAAGGATTATTCACTGGTTTTGTGGGTTTTGAATGAATATAGACTTTTTCTCTTTAAGGATGAGCTGGTCAGACCTAAATACATTTCAAAATGGTGACCAAGTATTTCTGTTTCCCTCTTTTCCTCCCTGTACCACCAAGTGAGCTGTGGGAGACCAGTTCAAAGTCAAGCATGATAACCACTATGGCCCTTTTCTTCTCCATTTCCTGGTAAAAGTGTGTCTGGTAAAGAAGCGGAAGAGAAGAATTCAGAATGCACACACATATCACATTATGACTAGCGGGCTGCCGTGGGTCAAGTGGAGAAAATCAAACATGCAAACCCTCAAACATACTGCACTTAAGAACATTATTAAAAGCAGAAATGGGAAAATGTCTAGCTTTGAGGATTTCAGGGCTTCCCTGAATAATTTTTCTGATTTGTCAACTGAATAGCCAGGAGACTGGAATAACTCAGAAAAAAAAGAAACAAACAAAGAATTGGTAATTATTTTAATTGCCTCACAAAGCCTGAAATACTTTCACTAGGAGTAAATTTGTAGATGAAATTTGAAACTTCTCTTCATAGATTTTCCTATTGAAGGCCATGAGTATCAAAACTATCATCTCACTTTTGACCAGTTATAAAGCTACTATAAAGTCTCCTATATGGCATCTTGTCATTGATTACTACTTCAGTGTAATCAGCAATGCAGACACATGAAATTCTTAAAATAAACAGCAGTATTCTCTGCTTGCGGCACGTGGAGTCAAGAGTTTTGTACTTTTATTTTAAGATATTCATTGTAATTGATAATTGAGCAAATTATTACTCTTTAAATGAACACAACTACTATATCAAAATACAGTGTAACTATGACAACAGTAATTCATAGTTTACCACTCTGACACTAAGCAAATTAAAAAATTTGCTGAATTATTTCTTAATAATAAAAATTTGATAAATTTCAAGAAGCAGTGTTAGCATTTGCTTTATTAGAACTAGCCCAATATCTTCTATTAATATTGTAAATACATCAATATATCTTTCTTGGATAAAACCAGACAATACAACTGGAAAATACAGTGCCTATTCTGTTAAAGATGTTAGTGAACACATGGTGACTGTCCCAAAGTTCTGGCAGATAAAAAAAAAAAAAAAAAGAAAAAGAAAAAGAAAAGCCAGGAGAAAAGGCAAAATACTTGGCAACTTCTAAACAAACACTTAAAAAAAAATCTGTAGTAAATTTGCTCACATATAAATGAAAAATCTTGCTAAAAAAGAAAACCTTGTGGAAATACAATGTGATGATATCGCTTAGATTACACTGCTATATCTTGCTGTAAAACATTTGGAGAGTTAAGATGGAAGCGTGGGAAGTAAGGAGGATGAACTGAAAAATATAAACCAAACATCTGCATTATTTACATTTTTTTTGACAGCTCAAACTGAAATGTATCTCCTGAAAATTAAGACGGCAAAGTGGTCCAGAAAAGCAAGCTGCTTGCTGAGGACAGGCACCCCAGTGCACAGGAACTCCCCGGCTTGCCATGTGGAAAGTCATGCAAGCACAGCAGAAAGGCAGCATGGACAGACAGAGGATTAAGAAGCTGGAAGGGTTACTCGCGATCAGTGCAGAACTTCTTTGTTTTGGCCTGCTTGGATGAAACTGGGGAAGCCAGACCCAGCTGGGCTCGAAACTGGTGAGGGACATGAGAAGCAACCAGATAAACTTCTAAGGGAACATCAGCAGCAAAAGAAAGACTGGGTAACAGCTGGGAGAGCTGGTGGATCTCCATCCTTATAAATACTCCAAACTCAACTGAACAAGGCCCTGAGCAATGCTGTCTGTTTCCCTTGCTTGGACTAGAACACTGTTGATGTCCTGTAAAAGTCTGATCTGATCATGATTGTCTGATTCTATGAAATACTCACTTTGCCTGCAGTTTTCTTCCCTCTGAATAAAAGAAGGGCAGAAGTAAAAAGAAAAAAGAGGGAAAAATATAAAAAAAGAGTAAAAAATTATCTTGTATTTAATACTTTCCTGAAAGAAGAGATGCTGAATTTGATAGAAAATACTGTGAACTGTGTAAAACTGTTAGATTGCTACTAATAGCACTTTTTATTTTATCTTTCCCATTCTATTACCCTATGATTTTGTAAGCAATTCACCTTCTTCTGGTTGCTGTTTTTTTTTTTTTCCCTTTTACTGAATTAATGCAGACTGATAAAAGAAGAATGACTGATGACCTAGTTCTCATCAGATTCTTGACTGATCTAGATAAGCTTCAAATCTAGGTAGGTTCTAGTATTCATTAGCAATTTGGTAAGTAGCTTTCTGTGTGCTGCATACTGGCAGTTCACAAGCTATAATAAATGGATATATATAGGACATGGAAATTTTGAGTCCAGCCTTCATAAGAGGACTTACAGGAGCCTCTCTTTTCACCTAATGCTTCCATGAGCAGAAAGCCTCCACTGTACCATGGGATGGCACCAGAGTGTAGGCACTATCATTTTTCCAGGTGCATTACCTGTTTCTCCCTCTTTGCCTCTTCATGTTTACCCAAGAAAAGCAAGAATTTAGCACCACACACTTTTCAAGCCTGAGTAAGTAGCTTAATTATTCAGACAAAATACTATTGATCTGAAAGTGTCTGAACAAATGAAACTCAGGCTTGCTGACCTCATTGAGAAGGACAGCCAGCCTTCTTGGGGAATTTCCAATTGTGTTACTTACAGTTCTTGTTCCCTTCTTTTATTTCAGGGCATTTGATACAATACAGTGCAACTTTGGGTATTGTGCACACATAGCTTCTTTTGAAATCAGAGGAGACTTTACTTAAGATGCAGACTTTCGTCTCGCTCTGAATTCAAGAGCGATCTATGTGCACCCAAAGATGATATAAGAACCAGGAAAGCTGACAGAAGTGATAAAAAAATAAAATGACAGGGTTATTCAATCATCTACTAAAATGAACAGGACCATATACATCTATGAATGTGTTACCCTTAAACATGAAGTAAATCTCACACTACATCACTGACTTCTAAATACCATAAATTTAAGTATATTAAGTATATTAAGTATCTCTAATTATCTCATAGCATAATTTCCAACAAAATGTGCCCTTTTGCAATTGAGTCTCTCTAAGTATAAGCATTTAGACAATGGACAATCATCTTCCCCAGTATTCATTTTGATCACAGTAGGCATGCTACAAAACAGACCCTATATGCTACATTTACTAAATTTAGGTAGGAAGCAACTTCCCAGGCTATAAATGGACTGTATTACTCAGTATGTAATTTGTTATGATAGTTGAACACGAAAGAATTGCAGATCCAACAAATACCCAAAATGGCTACCCGAAAAACCCTAAAATTAAGTTCTTGACAGATAATAACTAATGCTGTACACCCCTACTCTTTATGTTATGAACAATACGTACACTATATTTATGCAGAAGAAACCAGTATTTAAAACTCTCACATTTATCATAAAAATAGATTTTATTACTGAAAACAGTGCCATCCCATAAGAGATTTACAACTGATTAAAAAGGATGGCTTGTCCTAAAACACTTACATGATTGCATGCAAAGAAAACAGATGGTCTGTGTAACAGTAATTTGATTTCTTCCAGTAAACATTACTCATGATATCGAAAATGCTTATGTTGATCTCTCCCAGAATATGTGCGCTTTGCATCTCTCTTTAAATGAAGCCTGTAATTCTGTTCAAGAAACGGCACAGCAGCTCTGGTTTCCAAACAAATCAAATAAAATCAGGTAGTTTAATGCATCATTCGTCACTTAAGAGCCTGACAACACAGGGATTGATTTTAACTTTTCACTCTCCCAAAAGTGCTTAACATAAAGCCATGTTTCTTTCTCATCTACTCCTTTTGTAATGTTTCTTTATACAAAAAAAAAAAACCACCATTTCTACCTTCTTCTCTGCCTAAGAGAAGTAGCAAAAGTCAAAATACAACGCCTATTCTGATTTAATCTAACATTCTTCTCTTTAACACTGCTGCAGGTATATAAGAAGGAAAAAAGTAAAAAAGTCTTACTGATACGTCTCCATCTGTTCACCTCAAATTTTGTTCTATCTCTTGAGACATACCAAGAATGCTGCTCAGGGAACTTCCAGCACCCACATTTCCCTGAAACGAAGTTTTATACTTCCCAAACAATGGATGAAATGCTCTCTGCCTTTGTAAGGTGAACAACCCTCTTAAGGTCACCTAAATCACTGAAGTTCTTGGGACTGAACTGTGGATGGGAACTATGACACTTGTTCCCACAGGATGACAGCCTGGGCTGACAAAGTATTCATGTTGCCTTTTACAGATTTTTTTTGCACAGGATTAGTACAGGCAGATCTTTCTCAAAGGCACAAATTTAACCCCTAAGAATGTACCCTTAAATCTGGCTCTAATTTTTACAGGGGTTTCACACCAGGGTGTGTTCCGTCATCTGCAAGTAATAACATTCCTGCTGGGATGTAACCCTATTTGTCATTTT